CCGTGAATGGTGATGGCACAGCATGGTATTGAGAGCTGTTTTCTGGGGGGGCATATCCCCTTCCCCCTTTGCAAACCGGCTGAAGGCTTCGAAAGGACAACGCTCGAAACAGGAATGTCCGGGTTGGGGGGCACGCAGCCCCCTTGTCCAAGCTTTCGAACGGGCTGGCATGATTCGCACAGCTTCGCATGGCACATGGGTGGTGATGCACACCATAGGCTGGCGCGGCTTCGCAATTCCGGCGGGTGCATCCCCCTTTTACATTTGCAAGCACAATGCTCGAATACGGGTGGCGGGGTTGGTGGGTGGGCAGCCTCCTCTGCTTCCAGGCATTCGCACTGGTTCGCTTCATTCGCACAGGCTTGCATGATGGGAATATCCATGGATGGTGATGGCAAGCCATTCTTTGGGGTCGCTTCGAGTCCTCCGGGCTTAACTGGAAAGGTATTGGGCCTATGACCCTATAAATATCTTTAAATCTTAGGGTTTAGTTTAGGGGGGGAGTTGCAAACCCGCTGAAAGGGTTGGGGAGCGCGCAGCCACTTCTTCCGGGCGGTCGCACGGGTTCGCTTCAGTGGGGGAACGAGGCGCAGACTGCGCCTCAACAATGACGATACCCTTCCAGGCAGGTTTGCACGGGTTCGCAGCCCCCCGCCCCATCTGGAATCAAATGTACTAATTTTACATTTTCCAAGCACAGTGCTCGAATACGGATTATGGGGGTTGCTTGGTGCATGGGCAGCCTCTTCTTCCAGGCATTCGCACTGGTTCGCTTCATTCACACAGGCTTGCATGCCCCAAGTCTGCTAGACGAGTGCTTTTACTGTCGGCAAAATTTATGTAAAAATACCTTGATCTAGACAACAGAATTAAGTAAAATTCTACGCAACGCTAATGTAAATGTAAATGTACATGTGATGTATTTTTACATGACGTGTAAATTTCAGTTACTTGGTGTGTGTTTTTTACACCTTGTGTTTAGCTTACGAAATCTGTTCTTTGGCGGCTTGGTTTTCCAGATTTACTTTCGCCTTTCATTGGGTAGTGGTGCTTTCGTGTGGCTGGCTTACTTCCGAGATGCTTGCGATTTGCATGCTGAATCCTGACATGAGTCTGGTAGCCCTGTCATACTTTCGAAGCAACCGGTCTTTTTTCGATCTTGCCTGCGGATTGCTTTGTCAGCTTTACGTGTGCCATTGGCTGCACCCATGCAATGCCCTTGTCTCGCCTCAGGCCTCGTGCAGCTAGAGTAACTAGAGTTGGCTTTTCTGTTTCACCAATTAGAAGGAGCCGTGTGATGGCCTGAGGCGAGCTCGCCAAGAACTCGAAGGGCTTAGCTCTTTCCACATTCTCTAGCCTCTTTCGAGCGGAAATCTCGGGTCCCTTTCGAAGTTCTCTAGTCTGTTTCGAGCGGTTTGCTCGTTGTGCTGAAACTCTCAAGTTCCGAGCGGTTAGCTCTTCTGAAATTCTTTATCTCCTTCGAGTGGCTTGCGCCCGGGCTCTCAAGTTCTTTAGTCCCTTTGCGAACGGTTTGTTCCTTGTTCCTAAATTCTGTAGCCTCTGTCTTAAATTCTGAAATCTCTTTCGAACGGTTTGCTCCTCGTTCTCAAACTCTCTAGTGTCTTTCGCTCCTGGTTCTGAAATTCTCTAGTTCCTCTTGCGCGGTTTGCTCTTCGTTCTCAAACTCTCTAGTGTTGCTCGAAGCTCTCTATCTATCGTCTCCTTCGAACGGTGTGCTCCCTTTTTTCAAATTCTCTTGCTCCTTTCGAGCGGTTTGCTCCTTGTTTTCAAACTCTCTAGTCTCTTTCGAAATTCTCTAGCGCTTTCGCTTTCGAAAGGTCCTTGTTGCCAACTCTCTAGCGTCTTTCGGAACACTCTATAGTCTCCTTCGAGCGGTTTGCTCCTTCTCCTGAAATTCCCTAGTTCGTCTCGATCGGCTTGCTGCTTGCTTTCAATCTTTCTAGTGTCTTTCGAAATTCTCGAGTCTCTTTCGAGCGGCTTGCTCCTTCTTCTGAGAGTCTCTAGTTCCTGCCGAGCTGTTTGCTCCTTGTTTTCAATTTCACAAGTCCCTGTTGAATTTCTCTAGTCCTTTTCGTGAAGTTTGCTCCTTCTTCTGAAATTCTCTAGTTCCTTTCGAGCGGCTTGCTCCTTGTTTTCAAAAACCTCTAGTCTTGTTCGAAATCCCTCGTCTCTTTCGAACGGCTTGCTCCGTCTTCTGAAATGCTCCGGTTCCTTTGGAGAGTTTGCTCCTTGTTTTCAAGCTCTTTATAGTGTTTCTCGAAGTTATCCATCTATAGTCTCCTTCCAGCGCTTTGCTCCTGCTTCTGAAATTCTCTAGTTCCTTCCGAGCGGTTTGTCCTTGTTTTCAATTTCACAAGTCTCTGTTGAATTTCTCTAGTCCCTTTCGAGCGGCTTGCTCCTTCTTGTGAAATTCTCTAGCTCCTTTCAAGTTCCTTTCGAGCGGTTTGTTGCTTGTCTTCCAATTCTCTAGTGTCTTTCGAAATTCTGTAGTCTCTTTCTAGCGGCTTGCTCCTTCTTCTGAAATTCTCTAGTTCCTTTCGAGCGGCGCGCTCCTTGTTTTCAACTTCTCTAGTCTCTGTCATAATTCTCTAGTTTCTTTCGAACGGCTTGCACCTTCTTCTGAAATTCTCTAGTTCCTTTCGAGCGGTGTGCTCCTTGTTTTCAAACTCTCAAGTCTCTTTCCAAATTCTTCAGTCCTTGTTCCGAAATTTTAGAGTTCCTTTCGCGCGGCATGCTCCTGGTACTTAACTTCCCTAATGTCTTTGGAGCGGTTCGCTCCTTCTTCTGAAATTGTCTAGTTCCTTGCGAGCGGTTTGCTCCTTGTTTACAAACTCTCTAGTCTCCTTCGAAATGCCCTACTTCCGAGCGATATTTTGTTTATGTCTTTGCATGTTTTAAGTACCATTGAAGCGTTTCTCTCCTTGTCCTGAAATTATCGAGTCTCCGTCGACATTCTCTAGTATCTTTCGAGTGGTTTGCTCCTTCTTCTGAAAGTCTCTAGTTTCTTTCTAGCGCTTTGCCTCCTTCTTCTGAATTTCTCTAGTTCCTCTCGAGCGAGCGGTTGGCTGCGTGCTTTCAATCTCTCGTGTCTTTCGAAATTCTCTAGTCCCTTTCGAGCGGCTTGCTTCTTCTTCTGAAATTCTCTAGTTCCTTTCAAGTTCCTTTCGAGCGGTTTGCTCCTTGTTTTCAATAACCTCTAGTCTTTTTCGAAACTCCCTTGTCTCTTTCGAACGGTTTGCCTCCTTCTTCTCAAAATTCTCTGGTTCCTTTGGGGAGTTTGCTCCTTGTTTTTGAAGTTCTTTAGTCTCTTTCAAAATTCTCTCTTTCGGGCGGTTTCCTCTTGGTTCTGAAATTTTCTACTTTCTTGCGAGCGGTTTGCCCCCTTCTTTTCGAACTCTCTAGTCTCTTTCGAAATCCTCTTGTCTCTTTGGAGCGGTTCTGTCGTTATTTCCGAACGCTCTAGTCTCTTTGAAAAACTCTAGCTTCGTTCGAGCGGTTTGCTCCTTCTTCTGGGCGGTTTGCTCCTTCTTCTGAAGTTCTCTGGTTCCTTTCGAGCGGTTTGCTTCTTGTTCTGAAATTCTCTAGCTGTTTTGGAGCGGTTTGCTCCTTTTTTTCTTTTCAAAATCGCTGGAAATTCTCTAGTCTCGTTCAAGCGGTTTGCTCCTGGTTCTGCAAGTTGCTAGTTCCTTTTCTCCTTGTTTTCGAATCCTCTAGTGTCTTTCAAAATTCTGTAGTCTCTTTCGAGCGGCTTGCTCCTTCTTCTGAAATTCTCTAGTTCCTTTCGAGCGGTGTGCTCCTTGTTTTCAACTTCTCTAGTCTCTGTCGAAATTCTCTCGTTTTTTCGGACGGTCTGCACATTCTTCTGAAATTCTCTAATTATTTTCGAGCGGCGCGCTTCTTGTTTTGAGACTTTCAAGTCTCTTTCCTAATTCACCAGTCCTTGTTCTGAAATGCTCCAGTTGCTTTCGAGCGGTTCGCTCCTGCATCTGAAATTTTCTAGTTCCTTGTGAGCGGGTTGCTCCTTGTCTACAAACTCCCTAGTCTCTTTCGAAATTCTCTAGTCGCCTTCCATTTCGAATGGCCCTTGTTTCCAAACTCTCTAGCGTCTTTCAGAACTCTCTATAGTCTCCTTCGAGCGGTTTGTTCCTTCTTCTGACATTCTCTAGTTCCTCTCGAACGGTTTGCTGCTTGCTCTCATTCTTTCTAGTGTCTTTCGAAATTCCATAGTCTCTTTCGAGCGTCTTGCTCCATCTTGCGAAATTCTCTACTTCCTTTCGAGCGGTTTGCTCCTTGTTTTCAAGCTCTTTTAGTGTTTTTCGAAGTTATCCATCTATAGTCTCCTCCCAGCGCTTTGCTCCTTGTTCTGACATTCACTCGTTCCTTCCGAGCGGTCTAATCCTTGTTTTCAATTTCACAAGTCTCTGTTGAATTTCTCTAGTCCCTTTCGAGCGGCTTGCTCCTTCTTCTGGAATTCTCTAGTTCCTTTCAAGTTCCTTTCGAGCGGTTTGCTCCTTGTTTTCAATAACCTCTAGTCTTTTTCGAAACTCCCTTGTCTCTTTCGAACGGTTTGCCTCCTTCTTCTCAAAATTCTCTGGTTCCTTTGGGGAGTTTGCTCCTTGTTTTTGAAGTTCTCTCGTCTCTTTCGAAAATCTCTCTTTCGGGCGGCTTGCTGTTGGTTCTGAAATTCTCTACTCCTGCGAGCGGTTTGCCCCTTGTTTTCGACTAGAGCTTCCGAAATCCTCTAGTCTCTTTCGAGCGTTTTTGTTATGCCCATCGAAATTTCTAAGTAACTTTGGAAGAGTTCTCTCGTTGTTTCCAAACTCTCTAGTCTCATTGAAAAACTCTAGCCTCGTTCGAGCGGTTTGCTCCTTCTTCTGAAATTCTCTGGTTCTTTTCGAGCGATTTCGGCTCCTTGTTTTCCAAAATCTCTCGTCTCTGTTGAAATTCTCTAGTTCTTTTCGAGCACTGTGCTCCTTGTTTTCAACTTCTCTAGTCTCTGTCGAAACTATCTAGTTTCTTTCGGGCGGTTTGCACCTTCTTCTGAAATTCTCTAATTCTTTTCGAGCGGTGTGCTCCTTGTTTTGAGACTCTGAAGTCTCTTTCCAAATTCATTAGTCCTTGTTCTGAAATGCTCTAGTTGCTTTCGAGCGGCAGTCCTTGTTTACAAACTTTTTAGTTTCTCTGTCGAAATTCTCTAGTCTTTTCGGAGCGATATAATGTTTATGTCTTTGCATTTTCTAACTCGTTTTGGTGCGTTTCTCTCCTTGTCTTGAGATTCTCTAGCCACTATCGCAATTCTCTAGTCTCTTTCGAGCGGTTTGCGTCTTCTGCCATTCTTTAGTTCCTTTCGACCGGCTTGCTCATTGCCTTGAAATTCTCTTGTCTCTGTCGACATTCTCTGTATCTTTCGAATGGTTTGCTCCTTCTTCTGAAAGTCTCTGGGTTCTTTCGAGCGGTTGCTTGTTCTGAATTGCTCAAGTCTCATCCGAAGTTCCTTCGTCCATCTCGAGCGGGGGGTTTGCTTCTTGTTTTCAAACTCTCTAGGTCTTGTACTGAAATTTGTACTGAAATTCAGAAGTCTCTTTCGAGCGTTTTGCTCCTTCTTCTGAAATCCCCTAGTCTTTCTGGAGCGGTTTGGCCCCTAGTTTTCAATTTCTCTGGTCTCTTTCGAATGGTTTGCTCCTTCTTCTGAAATTCTCTAATTCTTTTCAAGGGCTTTGCTCCTTGTTTGCAACTTCTCTAGTCTCTGTCGAAATCCTCTAGTCTCTTTGGAGCGGTCTGCTGCTTCTTCTGCGGTTTGCTCGTTATTTTCAATTCTCGGGTATCATTCGAGCGGCTTGCTCCTTCTTCTGGAATTTTTCTAGTTCCTTTCGAGCGGTTTACTCCTTGTTTTCAACTTCTCTAGTCTTTTCGAAGCCTAGTCTCTTCCGATCGGTTTGCTCCTTCTTCTCAAATTCTCTAGTTCCTTTCGAGTTCCTTTCGAGCGGTGTGCTCCTTGTTTAAAAATTCTCAAGTCTCTTTCGGGCGGTTTGTTCCTTGTTCTGAAATTCTCTAATTCTCTTCGAGCGGTTTGCTCCTTGTTTGCAATTTCTCTAGTCTCTGTCGAAATTCCCTTGCCCCTTCAGCAATCGTCTAGTTCCTTTCGAGCGGCTAGCTCCTTGCTTTAAATTTCTCTAGTCTCTTTCGAGCAGTTAGCTCCCTCTGAAATTATCTAGTTCCTTCCGGCGGTCTGCTCCTTGTTTTCAAACTCTTTAGTGCTTTTGCCGCTGCCGCCACTGCGCGCTGGCTTGGGTGCCATGGCAAACAACACCGGGCTTAGCTTCCTTCTTAACGGTTTTTCTTGTTGTTCCTGCTCCCACTGCTGCTGTTCCTCTGGGCACCTCGCTGCTGAGTCGAACACTGCTGCCCCAAAAAAGTCATATGCTGCAGGTCAAGCATGCCTTCCTTCATTCACTTGCCGCCGAGGACGTGAATCTTTGACGTCACGCCACCAAGACTTGCAGCAACACACCACGTATCCTTATCAGGTAAAACCCTACCTGGCCACAGGTGCCACGTGCATACTTTTGTCCGTGACAAGTTTTTATAAGTACTACGTCGGTTAACGTTGACTTCAAAATAATAAACCCCTCCTCAATTACAAAACCCGACCCGCGGAACTAAATTTCAATTACAAGCCTCAGCAGCAAAGCTTTTTTTTTGTTGCTTGTTGTTTTGTAGCCGTTTGCAGTATCGGGTTGCTTCAGAGCTAAGCTTGACTCAGATGCAGGACACCGGGAGAGGCTGCCATTAGTGCGACCGTTTCAGTCTTGCAGAGAAAAAGAAATTTTGAGCACCACGACCACTGCAGTCTTGCAGAAAAAGGGAAACAGCAGGTATTGCGACCGCTTCAGCATTGCAGAGGCAGAGAAATTGCAAGTACTGCGATCGCTTCAGCATTGCAGAAAGCGAAATTGCAGGTAGTGCGACCGTTTCCGCATTGCAGAAAGAGAAACTGCAAGTACGATGACCGCTCCAGTATTGCAACGAGAGAGAAAGAGAGGCTGCAATTACTGCGGGAAGGACAGCCAACTTTAGAAACCAAGCCCTTCATTGGGCAAGCTTCACGGGACTCCGAAACCGTAGATTCAGAAGATCTCAGAAACCATACCTTCCTAATAAAACTCGTCACTGGGCAGCAAATTTCAATCCATCCTGATGGGTCGTACCAAAAACCAATCTCCGATAATTATGAACCCCCCTTAAATATGAAATCCTCCCGGGGATTGCTTTCTGCTGGTGCCTGCAACAGCCGGCAAACGAAGGGCACTTTGAAACCATACTCTTCATTGGAAAGGCTTTGACTTCAACGGATTTTGCATATCAAAAAAACTCTAGTTTCTGTATATTGTCTTCGCAAAAAAAACATTTCACGAGATTTCGTGAGGCAAAAATCCCTCTAAGGGTCATGGGGGGGGGCGCAGCAAACGCACTGATCCCATGATGCGCTTTCAACAAAACCGGTGCTGTTAAGCAAGCTTGCACGGCTCCAAGGCGGGGGAAGGTTGAGGAGGGGCGCAGCCTTTACCCACTTTGGAGCCTTCATGGCTTGGCTTGCAGGTAAATGGTTTAGGACGGAACCCCTTCATCCGTCGTCAGACCTCGGGCTTGTCCACTGCGGGGGCGGGTCGGCCGGGTCGGGGAGAGGACTTCCGAGGTCACAGAAAAGATAAAAAGGGGGTGACCCACGAGATCGGGATCGCAATGCAGGGTAAATCCAGGGGAAGGGGAGACATGGAGGGTCAGAAAAAGACATA